GGCGAGGGACGCGTCCCGCGCCGCGAAGCAGGCGTAGGACTCGCCGACGGCGTAGTACTCCGCGCCGCTCGACACGTCGAAGACGCGGCCCATGATCGACAGGTAGATCTCGGGCCGCGCCGCGCCGTCGTAGGCGCCGAGCTCGCGCACGGTGAAGACGCGCGTCGTGCGCGCCTGGGAGGGGTCCGCCTGGGCGTGCATGCTGTAGACGGCGTAGGCGACGGCGAGCACGGACGGCAGCCACCAGAGCTTGCCGAGGTTCGCGAGGGGCATGTTTTGTTGTTGTCGATACTACAGTAGTTTTGTTGTGTTGTGTGTGTCGCTTGTTAGGTGTGATGTGTTTGCGTGCGACGGGGGAGGCGACGCGGCACACTAGCGTTGGTTTGTGCGCGCGCGCTGCGCAAAGCTGTGCTCTCACACCATGGCAGTGCCACCGGCAACAATTCCGCGAAGTGTCGAGCTCGAGTGCGCACTGGCAAAGACGCCTCTCGACGCCATCGCCGCTGGTAGGCTTCGGATCGATGTAGGCGATTTTACGGATCCTTCTCGGCCAGTCCGGTCGCCGGTCAAACTTTGTTTTTTGTGCGAAGAGCCGAGGCGCCCGGCTACCCCGTCCAACGACGACGTCGCGCGGGCGTCGCGAGTACCGCCCGCGGATGTCGTCGCGTGGTGAGCCCGGTCCTCGTCGACCTTAGGGCAGACGACGATCGATCCAAAGAGAACGTTGGAGGAGTGCAGTTCAAATTTGGTGCACCTTGAGTCCAACATACAAGTAACTTCAACTTTTTTATTACCAGCCTTGGTGGGCACCATCGAAGCCCACGCCTTCCAGTCCGGCGTCTGCAATTGAAATAGTCCGCTGCGCGCTCTCTGTGCATTGCCGCGTCTGCAATAAAACTTCGCGCACGCCCTTCCCCACCCCATCCTGCTCCTGATTCCAAAGCGCCGCGCGTTGAAACGCCACACGCGCTGAGAGCGCAGCTATTCATAGGTTCAACACCACCAACATGCCTCGAAGCCCTTCGTGCCACCGCCTCCGCGCGAGAAGCGCAGCCGCGCCTCCAAGGACGCCGCGCCGTAGTACCTAATTCTCCGACGGTCCGCGCGCGCGACCCGACCTCCGTGCTCGGTAGGCTCGCGCAGATCAAGCACACGCAGAAGTACAACGGCGGCCGCACGGAGTACCTCGGCGTCTTCGAGGACGAGCGCGAGGCCGCCGAGGCCTACGACGCCGCGTGCCGCGCCATCGGCCGCCACGCGTCCGTCAACTTCCCGTTGGAGCACGACGCGACGGGCGAGGTCCACGCCGCCAAGGCGCTCCTCGGCCTCCTCGCGTAGCGCGGCGGAGGCGCGAAAGCCGAAGTAGCGTCTCCCCCGCCGCGGCGGCCGCCGCGCGCGCCGAGAGGCCGCGCGGCGCGAGCTGCCCATCCCCCCGACCGGCCCTCTAGGAACAGAGGGGGCCGCGGACGTGAAATCATAAGTGAGTGTGGTATTGGATCGGCTGCCGACGCCGCCGGATCGCCGGGATCGCTCCGGGATCGCTCCGGATCGCGACCGAGCGCGCGGGATCGCTCCGGATCCCCGCGGGTCGCGCCAATATCGCGCCGGGTCGCTCCGGATCGCTGCCGGTGGCGCCGGAGGCGTCGAAGCCTCGCGAGGAACGCCTCGAGGAGGCGTGCGAGGCCGGCCAAGGAGCCTCGAAGCCCAGCTCTTGACGATCGCACCACTGGGCGATCACAGACCTCTCACACCCCAAAACCATGCCTCCTCCCGCCGCGAGCTGGTTCCGAGGCATCGGTGCCGACCTCAAACGGCGCGCGCCGGCGTCCACGCGTCGCAGAGAGGTCCCGTCGATCGAACCAATCGCCGCACCAACAATCGATCGCCCGATCGCCACCCTAACAAAATATAGGCGCGCCCCGCACTACGTCTCGGACTGGACGGAGGGCCACAACGCGAAGACGACGGCGTCGATCTTCTTCATGTTCTTCACGTCCATCGCGCCCGCGATCACGTTCGCGGAGCTCCTCGACCGCTCGACGGGAAAGATCGGCGTCGTCGAGGTCTGCCTGAGCAGCTGCCTGTCGGGCTGCATCTTCTCCATCTTCGGCGGCCAGCCCCTCGTCATCGTCGGCGTCACGGGCCCCGTGACCATCCTGACCATCTCCATCTACGGCATGGCCAACGCGCTCGACATCGACTTCCTCAAATTTTATATGTGGGCGCAGATCTGGGCCGGGCTCATGCACATGGCCGCGGCCGCCGCGGGCTGGTGCGCGGCCATCAAGTACGTGACGAACTTCTCCTGCCACACCTTCGGTTTGCTCATCGCGACGATCTACGCGGTGACGGGCGCCACCGGCATCGCGCGCTACTACACGCGGTCGCAGTCCTTCGCGGCCTGCCTCATGGAGACCATCCTCGCGCTGGGGACGACGCTCGTCAGCCTCTACCTGGCCAACGCGACGAACTGGACGCTCTTCAACGCGAAGGTGCGCACGGTCGTCTCGGACTACGCGCCGACGTTCGCCATCGTGCTCATGACGATCATATCGCTCATCGGCCGCGCGGACGACCTCGGCGAGGACCTGACGCGCCTCGACGTGCCGCGCACCTTCGGCACGACCCACGGCCGCACCTGGTTCCTGAACCCCTTCGAGCTCGAGGGCTGGGCCATCGCGCTCGCGCTCGTGCCGGGGACGATCATCCTGATCCTCTTCATCTTCGACCACAACGTGTCGTCGATCATGGCCCAATCGAAGGAGTTCAACCTCAAGAAGGGGTCGGCCTACCACCTCGACTTCTTCGTGTTGGGGATTTGCATCGTGTGCACGGGCATCCTCGGGATCCCCCCGTGCAACGGCCTGATCCCGCAGGCGCCGCTCCACACGAAGAGCCTCTGCGTCGTGTCCAAGGTGAAGCGCGGCTCCAAGACCGTGGACGTCGTCGACCGCACCTACGAGCAGCGCTACACGAACCTGGCCCAGGCCGCGATGACGGGCGTCGTCTGCGCGCGGCCGCTCATCGGCGTCCTGGGGAAGATCCCCAACGCGACGCTCGACGGCCTCTTCCTCTTCATGGCCCTGAGCTCGCTGCCGGGCAACGAGCTCTGGGACCGCGTCAAGCTCGTGGTCTGCGAGAAGCGGCTCCGGGAATCGCCCAAGGACTGGTACGCGGCGCTCGACTTCTCGACGATCGCGTCGTTCACGCGGCTCCAGTTCTCCGTCGCCTTCCTCATCTTCTTCGTCACGCTCACGCCCATCGCCATGACCTTCCCCCTCTTCATCGCCGCCCTCGTCTACATCCGCACGAAGATCCTGCCCAAGTACTACGACGCCGCGGTGCTCGAGCTCCTCGACCCCCTCATCGACCTCGCGCCCGACGACGCCGCGGACCGGTCCCAGCACCCGAGCACGCACAACCTCCTCGCGCTCGAGGCGGAGATGCGCGCCATCGAGGGCGAGGCGCGGGCCCTCGAGAGCGCGCGCGCGGCGGCCGCGCTCGCGATCCGCGAGGCGCGCGCGGCGACGCCGCCCTTCGACGGCGACGACGACGCCAAGGCCAAGCACGACTCGCCCGCGCGCAAGCGCAGCATCTCGGGCTCGGGCGACGACGCGGCGTAAATAGTGTTTAGGCTATACTTGCGCGTCGAGCTCCGCGAGGCACTTTATAGCACACTCGTCGCCCTTGGCGGCGGCGCGCTCGAACCAGTATCTGGCTTTGCCGAGGTCGACTTCCGTGCCTCGTCCGTCCCTGTAACAAAGGCCAAGGCAATACTCCGCATCGGTATCGCCTTGATCCGCCGAGAGCGCGTAGTACCGGATAGATTCTTCAAATTTCTTCTCAGATTCAAGTAAAACCCCTAAATCGAATTGCGCGACCGCGTCGCCTCGGTCTGCGGCCGCGCGATACAGTTTCATCGCCTTCTTCTTGTCCAGCTTGACGCCACTTCCGTTCTCGTACAATAATCCAAGGTGTATCATCGCGTCCACGTTGCCGAGCTCCACGGCGCGCCGGTAAATCTTCGCGGCTTTCTTTTCGGATTTCACGAGACCGTAGCGACCGCGGCGGTACGCATCTCCCAAACACGTAATCGCTTCCGGCACTTCGTTCTCCACGTGGCGGCGAAGGCGCGCGAGGCGTTCCGCGTGGGTCTTTGCGCACGGTATGCGACAGAGGGGACACGCGTCGAAGCCGATCTTGCGCTCGCACGATCGGCAGACCTTTCGGCAGCAACAGACGCGAAACACGCCCGAGTCATTCACGTCCCACTCCTCGAGACAGATCGGGCACCGTGACCCGTACCGCGCCGACAGCGGCTCGGGCTCCGGGTTCGCCTCGCGTCGCAGACGAGCAGCTTCGTGCTCCGCCGCGATGCGCGCGCGGACCTCGTCGGCGTGCGACCGCGGCGCGGGGCCGTAGAACACGTCCCGCGGCGGCGACGGCGGGGGCGTCGGCGCCTCGGCCCGCGCCGCCGCCGCGGCCTGGATCTTCTTGCATACCTTCCGGTGGCCCCGGTCGCGCCAGTCGATGCGTTGGCAGTCCGTCGAACAGTAGGCCGTGGTGCCGCACCCTTTACAGCGCCGGGCATCCTTCTTCCCGCAAATCGTGCATATGTTGAGCGCCAGCTTTGTACGAGTTTTTCGCGCCTCGTACTCTCGCTTCTTCTTGATCAGTTCCGGGTCCATGATCTCTTCCCACGCTCGTCGCCGACGCTCCTATTCACCCACCTCACTCGTCTATCGTCACCTCGCAACAGGTAAAATCGCTCAAAATCTCACACAGGGCTAAGCCGACCCCTAGAGCATCGCGCTCATGTCGTTCTCCATGCCCCCCTCGGCGGCGGCGTCGTCCTTGCGCCAGACGGGCTTCGCGCTCAAGAACGCGAGGCACCAGACCGCGAAGGTCGGCGCAGAGAGGAACGCGGCGGCGACGACGCCAAGGCCAAGCACGACTCGCCCGCGCGCAAGCGCAGCATCTCGGGCTCGGGCGACGACGCGGCGTAAAGATGGTTTAGGCAATATCTCGCGCGTCGTCGAGGTCCGCGAGACACGCTATAGCATCCTCGTCGCCCTTGGCAGCGGCGCGCTCGAACCAGTACCTGGCTTTGCCGAGGTCGACTTCCGTGCCTTCTCCGCGCCCGTAACAACAGCCAAGGGAAGTCTCCGCCATAGAAAAGCCTTGATCCGCCGCGAGGGTGTAGTACCGGAACGCTTCTTCAAGTTTCTTCTCAGAGTAAAGTAAAAACCCTAACTTTGTTTGCGCGATCGTGTCGCCTCGATCTGCGGCCATGCGATACAGCCGCTCCGCCTTCTTCTTGTCCAGCTTGACGCCACTTCCAGTGTTGTGCAATCCCGCAAGGTATCTCATCGCGTCCACGTTTCCGAGCTCCACGGCGCGCCGGTAAATCTTCGCGGCTTTCTTATCGGATTTCACGAGGCCCAACCGACCATGGCGGTACGCGTCTCCCAAAGACGTAATCGCTTCCGGCACCTCGTTCTCCGCATGGCGGCGAAGACGCGAGAGCTGTTCCGCGGGATCATCTGGGCACGGTAAACGACAGAGGGGACACGCGCCGAGTCTGATCTTGTGCTCGCACGATCGGCAGACCTTTCGGCAGCAGCAGGTGCGAAACACGTTCGTCGCATTCACGTCCCACTCCTCGAGGCAGATCGGGCACCGCGACCCGTGCCGCGCAGACAGCGGCTCCCGCTCAGGGTTCGCCTCGCGTCGCACGCGGGCGGCCTCGTGCTCCGCCGCGATGCGCGCGCGGATCTCGTCGGCGTGCGACCGCGGCGCGGGGCCGTAGAACACCTCCCGCGGCGGCGACGGCGGGGGCGTCGGCGCCTCGGCCCGCGCCGCCGCCGCGGCCTGGATCTTCTTGCATACCTTCTGGTGGCCCCGGTCGCACCAGTCGATGCGTTGGCAGTCCGTCGAACAGTAGGCCGTCGTGCCGCACCCTTTACAGCGCCGGGCATCCTTCTTCCCGCAAATCGTGCATATGTTGAGCGCCAGCTTTGTACGAGTTTTTCGCGCCTCGTACTCTCGCTTCTTCTTGATCAGTTCCGGGTCCATGATCTCTTCCACGCTCGTCGCCTCACTCGTCTTACACTCACTCGCACTCGCAACAGGCAAAATCGCTCGACGACGGCGGCAGTAGCGGAGACGACGGCGACGAGATGCGCTTTCTCGTGTGGCTTATCCAGGGGGGTTGCGCTTTCTCGGTGACGTGGGTGGCGATGTGGCGTCGGCGACGGCCTCTTCGGAGGAGCTGCGCTGGGTCACATGGCCGCTGGCTTAGGCGTGGTATGGGGCACTAGGCCGATCCTCCCGATCGTGCTCCTCGCTCCACTACCCTAGCCCTTCCCTTTGGTCCTCCCTCCCTTCGATTCCTCCCTGCGACGCGGCTAAGCAAAATCGCTCAAAATCTTACACAGGGCTAAGCCGACCCCTAGAGCATCGCGTTCATGTCGTTCTCCATCCCCCCATCAACACCATCGTCGTTCTTGCGAAATCCGCTCTTGGCGTTGAGGAACGCGAGGCACCAGACCGCGAAGGTCGGCGCGGAGAGGAAGGCCGCGAAGGCGAGCGGCTTCGTGTGGACCGTGTCGTAGCCGCCGACGAAGGCGCCGACGAAGGCCGACACGACGAAGGCGTGGAGGAGCCAGATGGAGAGCAGGTCGTGGGCCGGCGCGAGGTGGAGCTTCTTCGCGCAGCGCGCGTAGAGGCACGCGTACGCCGCGCAGTAGCAGGCCGTGCAGCACGCGAGCGCGCCGTCCGTCGCCGCGTAGACGTGGTGGTGGCCCGGGTCGTCGTACTGGGGGTCCCCCGCGCCCTCGAGGCGGCCGAACAAGGCCCGCGTCGCGCCGAGGACGCCCCACGTCGCGCAGAGGAGCACCGCGCCGACGCCGAGCTTGAGCGTGACGCGGCGCCGCGCGCGGACGGGCTCGTTGAGCGCCTGGGCAGGACAAGAGAGATTCAACGTCGCTTCAACGTGAGTGTTCCGCGCGCGCGCCCCGGAAAAAGCACCCACGCTTCGAGACCGTTCCAAGAGATGATCGCTCGCCCAAAAATCAGCCAAAACGAGTGGAAAACGGCCGAGATATGAGGCTTTGAAGTTGGGAATTTCGCTCTCTTGTCCTGCCCCGTTGAGCGCGTGGGCGAAGAGGAGCGCGTAGCAGAGGCCCAGCCCCAGGAAGGTGAAGCAGCCGTAGAGGTAGAGGGCGCTGAGCACGAGCGACGCGACCTTGGACTTGGCGCCGACCTCCAGGGCGTAGAGCGGGTTCACGAAGCCGACCGCGTGCGCGACGAGCAGCGCGAGGCACCAGCCCTGCTCCGGCGTCCAGTGCGACGCGGGCAGGCGCGCGTAGAAGCCGACCCGCGGCGCGACGACGGCGAGCACGGACGCCACGAGGTAGACCGCGTAGAAGCCTAATTCGAACGACGTGTACTCGCGATTCACGAAGTGGAGCTCCATCTTCGTCGTCAGGACCGGCGCGTCCACCTCCGTCGTCATCGTCGCGCCGTCCACGGACCAGGAGATGCCCGCGCCGGGGTAGGTGCCGAACGCGTGGACGACGGACGCCGCGACGTCGTAGCGGTCGTAGAGGATTGCGTGCTGCGCGAAGAGGGGCACGGCCTTGCACCAGGCCTCGCCGCTTTTGCAGCGCACGGTGTGGTAGTCGTAGCGCTTCGTCGCGAGCTTGTGGGTCTTGCCCTGCTTCGTCTCGCCCGTCGCCGAGACCTCGAAGGCCAATTGGAACGTCTTGTCGCCCTTCGACCCGAAGCTCGCGGGCCGCGCGACGAGGCAGTCGAGCCAGAGCATCTGGTGCGCGGGCACCATGGCCGTCAACGCGCCGCTGAAGACGGGGTACTCCGTGCGCGCGGCGACGACGTCGTGGGACCGCGTCGAGTGCGTCGAATTGTGCTTCTTGATGGCCACGGGGCCCACGGCGCCGATGATGAGCGCGAGGCTCAGGGCGACGAGGTAGGTGCCCAGGGTGGCGAGCGTCGTGCGCGGGCTGCGCAGGACATCGTCCGACGACCGCTCGACGCCCAATTCGCCCGCGCTCATCGTCTCAACTGGCTGCCCAAGTGTCTGGCACGCGCTTTTAAAGTCTCTTCAACATGGCTGTTTTTTTTAGAAAGCAGCCCATCTGATTGGGAGAGCACGATGGAGGCTCCCGACGACACGACCTCGACGGCGGACGAGCACAAGGAGGAGGAGCGCAAGGAGGGCGACCCGCCCGGCGACATCGCCGTGGAGCCGGCGGCGCCGCCGTCGCCCGGCGGCGCCGGGCGGGGCCCCGAGGCCGACGGCGGCCCGCCCAAGGCCGCGCGGGGCGACGAGGTGCTCTGCGTCTGCTGCAACTACGGCACGGTGGCGCGCTGCGTCGACTGCGTCTGCGGCTTCGAGCAGCTCAACTACAACGAGGAGAACCTCATCTACAAGAACGTCGTCCGGCTGGCGCTTTTGGTCGCGTGCGCGTTCTACGCCTACGAGACCTGCGGCGTCGTCGAGAAGCGGTTCCAGGTCTACGCCCACGCGCCCTACTGGGTGCGCTACTCCCACATCTTCGCCGAGGCCCTGGGCGACGGCGCGAAGCGGCGCCAGCCGTCCGCGGAGCGCGCGGGCGCGTTCGACCCCGCGGGCGTGTCGAACCTCATCGACCGGCTCTACGGCGACTCCTACTCCAAGGCGGACCTGGCCCTCCTCAAGCAGAGCCACTGCAACGCGTCCGTCGTCCTCGAGTCGGCCAACGGCAAGCGGGACACGGACGACTGCGGCATCGACGCGCCCGTGTACAAGCGGGGCTGCCGCGCGGGCTACTACGAGCCGCGCGGCGCCGCGCGCGGGCCGAACCCCCACCTCGACACGGCGGCGCCCTGCCCCGACGGCTTCTTCTGCCTCGCGGACGTGACGTGCTTCATCGCGTGCCCGCTCGGGTCGAGCTGCGTCGCGTCGGCCGCGTCGAGGACGGCGGCACGTGCAAGTACTGGAAGCACGTCGAGAAGGGCGCCGAAAGCCACGCCGTCACCTACTACAACGCGACGCTCCAACGCTACGTCCACGGCGACGTCTGCCCCGGCGCGAGCCACGTCGCGCTCTGCGCCGCGGGCTACAGCTGCCCGTCGCCGGCAGGGCAGGACAAGGGTGATTCAAGTTCGCTTGTTCCGCGAGCGATTGTTCCAAAGAAAGGATCCACGCTTCGAGAGCGCTCCGAGAGATCATCGCCCGTCCAAAAATGAGCCAAAACGAGGGGAAACAGACCGAGATAGGAGCCTCCAAAGTTTGGGCATTTCGCACCCTTTTCCTGCCCAGGTCGCCGGACCGCGTCGGCGTCGAGTGCCTCGCGGGCCACTTCTGCCCCCAGGGCTCCTTCCACCGCGTGCGCTGCCGCTGGTACGAGCAGTGCGAGGGGCCCGGCCGCGTGAGCGCGAACAAGTTCTACGCGATGGCGGCCATCGCGGGCATCGTGTTCCTCCTCGCGTTTGGCACGTCGAGCGTCTGGGTGTCGCTCATGGCCTACCTCCACCTCCGGCGCGTCGCGCGGCGCCACGTCGCGCCGCGCGACGACGCGTCCTTCGCGGCGCTCCGCGCGTCGTCGGACGGCGACCGCGAGGCGTCGCTCGCGTCGCGCGCGGCGCCCGACGACGGCGACGACTACGCGTCGCGGACGCGGCGCGCGTGCTTCGCGGCCGTCGGCGCCTGCGGCTTCGTCGTGCGCCACGCGAAGCGCCAGGCCTACGTGCTCGTGCACGCGGCGCTGACGGCCTGCGCGCCGTCGGCGACGGCGCTCGACCCCCAGTCCATCTTCCGCCGCGACGCGGAGCGGCGCCACTGCTGCGGCGTGTCGCCCGCGAACCATTTGCGCGTGGCCCTGGCCGCGGGCCTGTCGCTCGTGGCCCTCGTGCTCGTCACGCTCGGCCGGCTGTCGTCGTTCCACGCGCTCGTCGGCGCCTACGCCGGCGTCGCCGCGCTGCTGGTCGCGAGCTCCTGCGCGCTGTGCACGTTCCAAAGAGCCGCGGGCGCGCGGACGTGCCTGCTCTGCTCCAAGGAGGGCCACGCGGCCATGGCGCTGCTCGGCTGCGCCGTCGGCCTCGGCTTCGGCGCGCTCGTCGTGCTGCGCCGGGGCGTCCTCGACTACGACGACGACGGCGTCGACGACGACGCGGCGCCGCGGCACCTCGAGGTGAAGATCTGCCTCGCGGGGCTGGGCGTCGGCGCGCTCGGCGCCTTGGGGGTTATCGCGCTGAGTTCGAAACGCTTCAAAAAAGTCAAGGCCGAGCCGCCGGTGCTCGGCGGCGACCTCGAGACGCCGCTGCTGGTCACGCGGCAGCCGGGCGACGACGACGCGGCGGCCCTCGTCGCCGAGCGCGAGTCGGCCGCCCCGCGCGCGAGCGAGCGCGACTCGCTCGCGTCGTCGGCGTCGCGGCCCGTGCGCTTCACCATCGACGTCGACTTCGAGGACCTGGGGCTCAAGCTCCGCAGCTCGGGGCTGCAGGTCTTTTTCCCCCAGCGTCTCGTTTTGGACCGAGCGATCGTCCCCCGTCGCGCGCCCCCCTCCACCGCGCCGCGCCGCGCAGGTGCTCAAGGGCGTCACGGGCCGCTGCGCGTCCGGGCGCGTCACGGCGATCATGGGCCCGTCGGGCGCGGGGAAGACGACGATGCTCAACGTGCTCAGCGGCCGCGCGTCCTACGGCGTGACGACGGGCGTCGTCGCCATCAACGGCGTGCCCGAGAGCGTCCAGGGCTTCGGCCCCTTCGTCGGGTTCGTGCCCCAGGAGGACACGATGCACACGAACCTGACGGTGGGCGAGAACGTCGAGTTCTACGGCGCGCTGCGCCTGCCGCGGCACTACACGGCGTGGGACGTGCGCAAGGTCGTCGAGCGGACGCTCGAGGTGCTCGGGCTCGAGCACATCGAGGGGTCCGTCATCGGCGACGCGGAGAAGCGCGGCATCTCCGGCGGCCAGCGGAAGCGCGTCAACGTGGCCATGGAGATCGTCAGCGACCCGAGCCTGCTCTTCCTCGACGAGCCGACGACTGTGCCGAATTCAACCGCTGGTTTGGGTGGTCCTGACCAAACTTCAGAATTCTCGAGCTCGGTCACATCGAAGTCGATTCGGCTGATTTTTGGACGAATCGATTGCTCTCGTCGAGTTCTCGAAGCACGGCAGAAGAGGTTGCGTCGAAACTGTCGCGTTCGCTCACATTGAAGTCGAGTTGAAGATTTGAATTCGGCGCAGGCCGACGAGCGGGTTGGACAGCACGACGTCCTTCGAGCTCGTCCAGTCGCTGCGGGTCCTGAGCGGGCGCAAGGTCAACGTCGTCGTCGTGCTCCACCAGCCGTCCTTCTTCATCTTCCGCATGTTCCACGACGTGCTGCTCCTGTGCCGCGGCGGGCGCACCGCCTACTGCGGGCCGTCCGAGGGCGCGCTCCCCTACTTCGAGGCGTCGGGCTTCTCCATGCCGGCCTTCGAGAACCCGGCGGACTTCTTCATGGACGTCATCGCGGGCAAGGCCGCCGTCCGCGACGGCGCGTCGCCCTTTTCGGACGCGCTGGCGGACGTCGCGGGCGTCCAGGACAGCCGCAAGGGCGCGCGGCAGCACGCGGCGGCGCTCGCGGAGCTCTGGGAGCGCCACGCGGGCGAGTCCCGCGACACGCTCGAGGACGCGCCGCACCCGACGACGCCGGGGCGGCTGGAGCCCGCGGGGCGCCTGTCGCGGTCGAGCCGTCGCGCGCCGCGTCCGGCGAAACTTCGCATCGAGGTCGACGCGGCCGATGTTTGGACGACTCGTTGCCTCTCGTCGAGTTCTCACCCATTGCATTCGGGTTGATGATGTAACATCCACGCAGGCCGCGCGCACCGGAAGCTCGGCCGCGCGTCGCGGAAGCGCCAGCGGCAGGTCCGGAAGATGGCCACGAAGCTCTCGCAGTTCAACATCTTCTTCCGGCGGACGTGCCTGCTGCTGGCGCGCGACCGCCACCAGTTCGCCGTCGACTGCTGCATCCAGCTCGCCTGCGGCGCGTTCTTCGGCCTCCTCTACGAAAACTTTGAGTTCAAGGCAGGGCAGCAAAAGAGAGCGAAATTCCCAACTTCAAAGGCTCCGATCTCGGCCGTTTTCCTCTCGTTTCGGCTGATTTTTGGACGAGCGATCATCTCTCGGAACGGTCTCGAAGCGTGGATGCTGTTTCCGGAACGCGCGCGCGCGGAACACTCACGTTGAAGCGACGTTGAATCACCCTTTTGCCGCCCAGGTTCAAGGACGCGCAGACGCTCTTCTTCATGCTGAACCTCGGCGTGGGCCTCACGGCGTCCCTCGCGTCGCTCCGCGTCTTTGGCAGCGACCGCGCCGTCTTCTGGCGCGAGGCGGCGCCGGGATCGGGCATGGAGCTCGACCGCTTCGCCTACTTCCTCGCGAAGAACGCCGTCGAGGTGCCGCGGCTCGCCGTCTTCGCGACGCTGACCCTCGCGACCTTCGCGCGTTGTCGGCGTCGTGGTTTTATTTTTTTGAGGGCGACATATAGTTGCGCGGTAGGTGCCCCTGGCGTCGCCGCTGGCGCCCATCGAGGAGCTCTTCGCGCTGACGTTCTCCGCCATGTTCGCGGCTGTGTGGAAATCAACCACTGGTTTGGGGGGTCCCCACCAAACTTCAGAATTCTCTAGCTCGGTCAAATCGAAGTCGACTCGGCTGATTTTTGGACGAATCGATTGCTCTCATTGGGTTCTCGAAGCACGGCAGAAGAGCTTGCGTCGAAACGTTCGCAGACGCGCACATTGAAGTCGTGTTGAAGATTTGATTTCCACACAGGTTCGCGGTGTCGGGCTTCGCGTACGCGCTGAGCATCGCCCAGGACCCCATGGCGTCGCAGCTGAGCATGGTCATGCTCGTCCTCGTCTTCGTGCTCTTCTGCGGCATCTCGCCGAAGCTGAGCCAGATCGACAACATGGGGCCGGCGGCGCAGCGCGCCCCGGCGCGCGCGGTCTCTCGCTCTCGCGGCCTCGCACCGGGCCCTCGTAGGTACGCCTCCGCGCTGAGCTACGGGCGCTGGTACGTCGAGGGCCTCTACACGTCGCAGACGCGCCAGCTGAGCGACGCGTGGAAGATGCGCGTTTTCCCAGCGCCGCGGTGATTCTTCGCGCGGGGGGCTCCGGCGCCGCGAGCGGAGGCGTGCGAGCGAGCCCGACCCCTGGCCGCTCCGAACTCCGCGCCGTGGACCGCGAGCCCGACCCCTGGCTCAGCGCCGTGGACCGCGAGCCCGACCCCTGGCTCAGCGCCGTGGACCGCTCGCGGCGGCGGACCACCCCCCCCCGGACGAGCCGCGCCAAAAAAATTCGAGCGCGTCTGAGCGGGCGGGGGCCACCGCGACTCCGTCGAGAATCGCCTCCCTCCGCCCCCCGCGCGACCGCGCCGTTCGCCCCGCAGGCCCTGGGCGTGGTACGCGAAGCCGAACCAGGACTGCGCGCTCGCGGGGCTCTTCTCGCTGTCGTTCTCGGAGCTCTACCGCGCGAAGTCCGGCCACCTCCGGACCATCAACGACCTCAACATCCCCATCCTCTTCGCCATCGGCGCCGCCATGCGCGTCGTCTCCTACCTCCTGCTGCTCCTGTGCAACCGCGACAAGATGGGCAAGCAGACGATTCTGCAGCTCCTCGCGCAGTTCTTCCTGAATCCCGTCTCCGACCTGCTGGACGACGTCGTCGGCGCCTGGGAGCGCGGGTTCGGGCGGAAACGGCGGGGGGAGCGGGTATAATGCAGGTTGTACTCGGTGTGTGGATAACTTTTTTTTTTACCGAAGATCTGAGTCGAGGCAGGTAATGTATACGCTAAAGAGGTAACGTGCGTAACTATTTTGTACACACAGAGGTATATGGACGCATACAGGGGGTAAAAAAAAGATGTGGGGCGAAACGAGCAAAAAAAGAAATCGACATTGACAGGACTCGAACCTGCGACCCTAACGGGAATAGATTTCGAGTCTATCGCCTTAACCACTCGGCCACAATGTCGCAACTGGAGAAGTTCCGAAACGCTTCGGCAATAAATGCCGACCTGAAGAAAAAAAATTCTATTTGATTTCTACAGAGCTAAAGAGGAATTCCACGCCGGCAGAGAAGCCTGCTAGAGAAAAAAGGAAGAGACGCCGTGCTCAAAGCGTCGCTCCAGTCATTCGACGCGCTCGAGCGACGCGTAAAAACGTCACTTTCCATGCTCGTGCCCTGCATCACGAGGTGACTCAGTGAGTATGGGCCGTTCTTTTCGCGGCCCAACGCTGGCCATAACCGCTCTCCTACTCCCCTCCGCAACTACAGCAAAGCTCGTCCTCGACGGCGGCGACGCGGGCTGGTCCTCGGCCTGGGGCACGTCGGTCGATGGAGTCATGGGCGGCAAGAGCAGCATCGCCGTCAGCTTCGACGACGGCATGCGCGCGACGGGCTACCTCAACACGGACGGCGGCGGCTTCGCGGGCTGCTCGCGCAACGTCGCCGAGCCCGTGGACGTGTCGTCCTACGCGGGCGTCGCGGTGACGTACGCGGCGCTCGACGCGTCGGCGCCGCCGCTGGCGCTCGAGCTGCGGCTCGGCGGCGAGGGCGACACGGGCGGCAGCTGGATCGACCACCGCGCCGTCTTCGCGCTGTCGCCGTCGGCCGACGCGGACGGCGTCGGCGTCGCGACGCTGCCCTTCGACGCGTTCGTGCCGCGGTGGCGCGGGAGCGAGCGGACGGGGTCTCTGGACCTCACGGCGATCAACCAGATGGGCCTCCAACTCCTCTTCCAGGAGGGCGCCTACGACTTCACGATCCTCGAGATCGCGGTCGTCGACGACCTCGTCCGGGACGACCCGGCGCCGGCGCTCGGCGCCGCGCCGAGCCCCGCGGAGGTCGTCGAGGGCATAGACGCGACCATCGAGGTCGGCGTCTACGTCTACAACAAGGGCTACCCGTCGCAGTGCGACAAGATCTACGCCGCGACGGCGCGCTCCGTCGCGGCGTCGCTCGAGGGCGGCGCGGGCCTCCGGGAGGACGCGCGGGCCGCTCTGGCGGACGCCGCGGCGGCCGCGGAGGCCATGGGCTACTCGGAGAACGACGAGATCCACCGCGCCTGGGCCCTGCGCCACGGCCTCGACGACGCGCGCGCGGCCGCCGTCGCGGCGGGCGACGATTGGGAGGCGGAGGCGACGCACGCGAACGACGCGACGGACGCGACGGTGGCGACGGACGGGACAGACGCGACCGACGCGACGCACGCGACGGACGTGGCGGATGTTTCGGACGCAGCGGACACAGCGGACGCGGCGGACGCCGCGGACGCGGCGGACTCGACGACCGATTCGACCGATTCGGCGGCTCCCGAGCCCGAGCCCGCGACCGATTCGTCGTCGTCGTCCTCCTCCGACGACAACGACATGGTCATGCTCCTGGCCCTCGCGGGCGCCGTGGCCGTCGTCGTGGCGGCGGTCGTCACGCTCTGCCTGCGGCGCGTCGCGCCCGCGCCGCCCCCGCTGGCCAAGGTCCAGGACCTCGCGCCCCAGAAAGCCGCGGTCGTGGCCACCGCGGTCCCCTGCGGCTTCGACGTGTGATAAGTACGATGTAGCCTACGCCCCTACCCGAGCCCCGCCCGCAGCGCCGCGACCCACGCGTCCCGGGCCTCCTCGGACCGCGCGGCGAGGATGCGCTCGTACTCGTCGCCCTGGTTGACCTTGAAGGGGAAGACGGCCTTCTTCTCTGCGAAGAAGAGCGCCGCGGGCCCGGACGGCGCCGCGGGCGCGACGGCGGACCGCGGCCCGCGGACGACGAGCTGGCCGCGGGGCTCGACGCTGTCGGGCCCGTCGTAGTAGAAGAGCACGTTCGAGCGCACGAGGCGGAACCTACGCGACGGCGCGTTTCAGAGAGCCCCGACACGATCCCCGAACGCCGGCCTCCCGCCACCGGTCCGTCGTCGCGGCCGCCACGGAGCTCCGCCGCCAGCGGTCCGTGAGGTACGCCGGCGCGAGCGCGAGCCTACGGGAAAGAACCGTCCGCGAGAAACGCGCGCGAGAACGACGCACCAGCCCTCGCGCAGGCACGGCGGCGGCGGCGCGTCCGCCGGACGTCCGACGCGCGCGGCGACGGCGTCGCGGAAGCGCGCCGCGTAGGCGCCGGCGTCCGCGGCGTCGCGGGCCGCGCAGTCGACGAGCGCGAAGGCGAGGGCGCGGCGCGCCTCGCCGGGGACGGCCTCGAAGGCGCCGGGCTCCGTCGCGAGGCGCGCGGCGATCTTCGCGACCGCGCTCGCCGGGACCTACGGAGCGCATGGACACGGAACCCACGAAAAGCAACGCCGGCAAACGGACGGCCGGCGGCGGCTTGCCCGGTGGCGGCGGCGGCCGGCCCGGCGGCGGCGGCGGCGCGGCGTCCCGGGGCCGGTCGACGTGGACGCAGAGCGCGTAGCCCACGGCGCCCCGTTGCTCCAGGTACGCGACGTCGCGCCGGAGCTGGTCGCCGAGCGCGGCCGCGTAGGCGCGCGGCGCGGCGAGCGCCTCGCGCGTCGCGACGAGGTCCGCGTCGTAGCGCACGTCCTCGCGGGCCGCGTCGACGGCGTCGGCCTGGGACCGCGGCGCGGCCGTCGCGCGCGGCGGCGACGCCGCCGGCCGGTTCCCGAAGGCCTTGCGCGCGCGGCTCCCCGCGGCGCGGCCGTCGGTCCCGCTCAGGAGGTAGGTCGTCCGCGGCGCGGCGCCGGCGCCCGGCGCGCGGGCCACGTCGACGACGGCGAAGTGGCTCGTCGCGCTCGCCGCGGCGACGGTGAAGACGGCCGCGACGCGCGGGAGCAGCGTCGCCGCGTTCGACGCGACGTGCGCGACGTAGGCCCGCGCGTCCGCGACCTAAACGAGGGCGTCGGTCGGCCTCGGCGAGGGCGTCGGTCCCTCGGCGAGGGCGTCGCGGACGCCGGAAGACCGCACGAGCACGGCGCACTCCTCCGCCGAGATCTCGCGGCACACGCAGGTGCCGTCGCGGCTCGCGTACTCGAAGTAGTCGGCGCCGGCGCGGCGGCGCACGCGGCGCACGCGCGCGGCGACGCGGCGGCCGTCGAGCGTCGCCGCGTCCGCGAGGAGGCTCCGCACGCCGAGGCCTAGAAAAGCGGACTCCGCGCGGCGCCGAACGTGAACGAACGCACCTCGCCGCACGGCGTCGTCGTCGACGCCGAGCGCGCGGCGCGCGCAGGCGTAGAGCCCCGGCCGGTGCGCCGTGCACCGCGCGGGCCGCCGCGGCGCCGCGCCCGCGAGCGCGCCGTAGATGGCCGCCGCGTACGACGGCTCGGCCGCGGGCTCGCGGCACTCGGGCCTGTGTGAGGGCGCTTTCGGCGAGTTCTGTCAACTCCGCACAGCCTCGCGCAGGTCGAAGGCGTCGCCCGGGTCGAGCCGCTCGAGGTCCACGGCCTCGTCGCCGTCCTTGAAGGCGCGGCGCAGCTCGAGCTGCTTCCGGAGCTGGCCGCCGTGGTGGAGCGCGAGGTCGATGGCCGCCGCGGCCCGGCACACGAAGTCGCGCCGCGCGGCCGCGTCCGGCGGCGGCGCCGCCGCGCCGCCGTCGTCGGCGTCGCTCGCCGGGCCCTCGCCGCGGCGGCGCACGAGGCCGAGCGCCGCGGCGTCGATGTCGACGACGTCGCCCGCGGGGCACCTGCGCGGGGCCGGGCGTGGGCGCCGTCGCTTTCTACGCGCGGCGGCCCGGGCGGGCACGCCGAGTCCAGGAACGCGTCGACGCCGTAGAAGTCGTCCGGCGACTCGAGCTCGAGCCCGCAGACCGCCGCCGCCGCCGCGCGGACGAAGCGGCGCAGCAGGTCGCCTGCGGCGGGCAAGGCGGACCCCGCGTC